AAGCATACTATAAAATAATACTGGAGGACCAAAAGAAGCCTATGAACACTTCGGGGTAGGAGATATTTTTGGGAGAATGGATAACTGAATTCATGGACATCAAATCAATGGATAAGGAAGGTCATGCTGTACTGAATTTCTGAGTAGAGATTATTTCTAGACACGCTTTTCTTTTAGGATTGCTCTTACAGAAATGAAAACTGTCTTGGCAGAGCTTATGTCTACTCAGGCTAAGATTGTGCTTTTCTGAACTCTATTAAGTGTTTCTGGAAGTACAGGGTGGATTTCATAAGAAACTATCTGAAATTGATGATATCAGCTACACAGACAGAGCATTCAACAGTTACTATTCTCAGAATTAGGAAGGAGGAAGGCTAATCTAGTGCACTAGCAGTACTAGATGCCAACTTTCTCAGTACTTCTCTTCTGGCCCCATCTGTATGCCGTCCCAGCCAGGCCCTTGTAGTCGGGTCCACAAGACAGCCCCAGGCCAAAAAAGTTTGCCCATGCTTGAGCTATAATGATAGGAAGATTTGGGACTAGGCCTTACTGTCAACATACTTGACCTTAAAGAGTAAAGCAAGTTAAAGATTATATGCATATCACTGTCGACACACATTATGGTTCCTAAAATGTTAGATTTGTTGTTGGGTATATTTGACCTGCTGATTCCAAAAAATGGCACTGGCTTTCTCCTATTAGCTCTAGTTTTTGAGATACAGAATATAATGCACATAGCAGTCACCATCTGCTCATCCATATCATGATATCTTAGAAAATAGAGCTAATGTGATCTATCCAATTCAATTTCCTGAATCAATGCAGTAACAGTACTAGAAACCAAGACAGCAGGAAATTCTGTTGTTGTTAGGTTGTGTTATTTACTATGTTCTCTACAATGTACTGAGAGCAAAATTTCTTGTCCATGTTTTAGGAAAATGTGGGGAAGATGTTGATGAGGGTGCAATTGAATAATTACGCCATTACAAAAGGTTTATAATTCTTTTTGTTGAACACCTTCAATGACCTTGGCGGATGGCCGCCGGCAGTGCTCCGCTTCGTAGAGGAGCATGTGGAACCTAGCGCCCCACATCACCCGGTTCTAGCAGAGGCCGATCAATTGGAGTGAGTGTGAACATGTGGCTTCCCCCCCATGAAATGCAATGGCAACGTAGGAGTTCTCTTGTGTCGCCCTGACGGCAGCATGCAGCTGCTCTACCTTCCTTCACCCATGGAACCGTGCAGGCATCATGAGATGGGAGCCGGCCGGCTCGATGGGTGACCGTGGCTAAATCTGCACATGCCGCTAAATTTAGTCCCAAGTGAAGAGGTCGCAAGTAATTTCTGACTTATTGTAACTGAAGGAAAACCTGTGTGTGTGTATGTGTGTATAAACTTGACAAAACTCATTCAGAGGTACAGTAGTTGACCATTCCTTTCCTCTAAGGATGCAAGACTATAACTTGTGCAAAGTCACACAGTGGGTTTCCATGACCAAATGGAGATTTGATTCCAGGTGGCCAGAGTCCTGGTCCATAACTGTTTCTTATCTGTATAATTTCCAATCTAGTAATTTATGCTATTACCTTTTTTCTTAAGTGAGAATCTTTCCCCTCATTATGATGCCAATGTCTAAAGTGCTACTTCTGTATAATGTCATACATGACATTTGTACAGTTTAGATGGTATTAGTTTGACTATTCATGGTTATTACGGATTTTATATTTTGTAATGGCCTGAGGACGAGACAAAAATGGAAATGAATGAACCCAACCATGCCCACAGATACCCTAGCAAAGTACATAGTACCTCTCCAGGTTACATTGCTCATAAACAACTCCTGATCGGTGACTCAATAATAATACTAAGCAACAGGCAATGAAGTCACAATTGCACAATGTCTGCTGTGATGCAGAGGCACAAGGAAGCATATTTATTCAGGTGTAAGTGCAATAGGACTTACTTTCTAGTAATTGTGGTTAAGACTGCAGCCTGAAAGTATTCCTCCTGTCTCTCTCATACAATGTTCAGGCTCAGGTCCAGGAATGCCAAGCCCGGGCTGTGTCCAGCTTTAAAGGTAACCAGCACTTTTCAACTGTGGACTAACAACTTCGTTACATGGCTGGCGGCTGGCAGCAACCATGGGGAAATGAGATGTTTGCTCCTGGAATTGAAATTCAGGTACATTGAAATGACTGGAATTTGATCATAAATTGAAATGACTGGAATTTGATCATAATGGCACCATCACTCTGGAATACTCTGCCACCTGAAGTCCGCGCCTTGCGGGACTTACCAGCTTTCCACAGGGCATGTAAGACATACCTGTTTCGACAGGCTTTTAATGTTTGATATCGCTGTTTTTAAATTGTTTTAAATTGCTTTTAAATTTTGTTAGATTTTAGCTATTCTTGTAAGCCGCTCTGAGCCCCAGGGGAGTGGCGGCATATAAGTTCAAATAATAAATAAATAAATAAATAAATAAATATATTTGGAAGTAAGCTGTATTTCAACGGAAACAGTTGCCAAACCACCTCTGTGTATTCCTTGACTAAGTAAAGCCTGTGAAATGTATACAGTCACCATTGTTATCTGAAACTGGAACTCCAAAAGATAAATGACCTCTAGTTGCCCAGCTCAGCTTTGGCCAACTGCCCCCTTTTCCCCTGCCTTCACATAATGGGCTCAAGTTACCAGAATACTTGCTTTGGGCAAGTCAATTTCTTTAGATCTGGAGTCACACTCTCTTGGCCTCATATTTTGTGTCATCACCCTCCCTTTTAAAATGCATTTCATTACATTGATAGCTTTCTTGACTGGTGAAGAAGCCCCGGTTATAGCCTTCAGGGCTATGGTGTTTTTTTTAACCTCATACTGGTCCTTTTCAGGAGGAAGCCATTTTGCCTGCTGTTTCATGGGGTGCCATTTCCTACTGGGGAGGGCTCTCCAGGTTCTCCCTGCTCAGAAACATGGCTTAAACACCCAAAATGGAACAGAATACCCTTTCTCAGTCTGAGAGCTAGTTATATCTACAATTGGTCAATCACACGAACACACCATGAGCTGCATAGACGCAATAGGCTTTATGCAAGGTGGGGTTGCCAGCTTTTCAAAGTAGCAGTGAAAGACCGTTCATCCTATGGAGGCTTGACAATCTGGAGGCAGCCATTAAGATGAAGGAGAAATGTATTTATTTCCTTTGTTATCTAGCTCAGGAATGAGGAACAATTCCTTGAAGAAAGAAATACTCAAGTCTTGACGAACCAGACTCAACTCTTATGGTCACATTCCCTAACATTAGTACCAAAAGGGTTGCTAATGAGTTTTTGGTTAACTTTGAATTCTGTTTGGTTATTTGGGGTGCTGATTCAGAAAACTGATTGAATAGACCACATCAGCTCTAGTTTCTGATACAGAACATATGCCATCCAGTAGTCGCCATCTGCTTGCCCACAGAAAACCATCTATATAAATAAAAATGTAATGTTCGTTTGTGGGATTAACAGAACTCAAAAACCACTGGACGAATTGACACCAAATTTGGACACAAGACACCTAACAACCCAATGTATGTCCTTCACTCAAAAAAAAATGATTTTGTCATTTGGGAGTTGTAGTTGCTGGGATTTATAGTTCACCTACAATCAAAGAGCATTCTTAACCCCACCAATGATGGAATTGAACCAAACTTGGCACACAGTTCTCCCATGACCAACAGAAAATACTGGAAGGGTTTTGGTGGGCAGTGTCCTTTGGTTTTGGAGTTGTAGTTCACCTACATCCAGAGAGCACTGTGGACTCAAACAATGATGGATCTGGACCAAACTCTACACGAATAGGGGTTGTTGTAGGTTTTTTTGGGCTATATGGCCATGGTCTAGAGCCCGAAAAAACCTACAACATCATGTAGGTTTCATGACCATATAGCCCGAAAAAACCTACAACAACCCCGTGATTCCGGCCATGAAAGCCTTCGACAATACATTCTACACAAATACTCAATATGCCCAAATGTGAACACTGGTGGAGTTTGGGGAAAATAGAATCTTGACATTTGGGAGTTGTGGTTGCTGGGATTTATAGTTCACCTACAATCGAAAAGCATTCTGAACCCCACTGTTAGAATTGGGCCAAACCTCCCACACAGAACCCCCATGAGGGCCGCGGGAACACGTGGCAGGGGACTGCTAGTATTTAATAATCTAGAGCTGATGTAGTCGATCCAATGCAATGGTCAGCTCTGCGGAAAAGAGCAGAAATAAAATTAATAAAATAGGGAAATAAAGAGGAAGGTTTGCGGACTGGATTTTTGTTCTCGTGGCCCACTGCTCACTCACAGAAAACCATATTTAATAAATCTTGGCACTATAAGAGGGTTTTGTGAGACCATTCACTCTCTCTCATTGCAAGGATGTAGTAACGGTGAGGCCACAGACTGAGGGGTAAAAGGAAAGGGCCTGAGGCTGTTAGGAATGGTGGGAGTTGAAGTCCAAACAACTGGAGGGCCTAAGTTTGCTCAGGCCTGCTCTACAATGTGATGGCAAACCAACTGAGAACTCCTCAACAAACGGATAGTTTGCTAGTGTGTGATGGAGGTAGGAACAGCATCCATTTAATTTCAAAACGGAGTATGCCTGAGCTGTTGGGTAATCTACTCTTCCAAACACTAGGCATGTTCAGTGGGATGGAGGGTTACTCTTATAGATCCTGCTCCCTCATTCTCCAGGCCCAAACTGCCTTGAGGAAGAAGAAGAAGAAGAGGCACTGCTTTGGCTTTGCAGGGAAGAGCGGCCGGACTGCGCCTGCGCGAAGCTGGGGTGGGGGTGGATGGTTCCGGACGGGAGGAAGGGAAGCTGTCAAGCACCCGCAACGCCCCCCTCAGGAGGGCCGGCTTAAGTTTCTCACCCATTGGTTCCCGGCTGAGGGAGGAGGAGCCTGATTGGTCGCTGCAGCGGAAGCCGCGGGATGCGATTGGCTGGGCTGCCTTTCCATTCTGCGGCGGGGTGCGCGCGCGTGCGTGCGTGCGTCTGGAGACTGTCGTTGCCCTGTCGGCCTTTGGCTCAAGGGGAAGCGGGTGAGTCCTGCGTCTAGATCCGGGGGGAGGTGGGCCCAGGGGGTCGGTGGACGGCGGCGCCTTCCCGGCCTAGTCTTCCCCAGGGCTGCCCACTGAGGCCCGCGCCCGAGTAGCCTGTGGGCGGCAGGGGAGCAGGCCGCGCCTCCCCACCTCCCCCTTTCCCGCAGCCCCGCTGAGAGGAATGCATGGGCCTTGGGCGGGTCGTGAGGTGCCAGCCTGGCAGGGCCCCTGGTCTGTGAGGGGAGAGGGGGAAGCTTCCCTCCGGGCTCAAGCTCATGCTCAGGGAGAAATGGGCGGGGGGAAGCGAGTGGGTAGGGTTGCATGCGTAGGGAATGGAGACAGTCGACCCACAGCACCAGGGATTCAGCCTTTCACAGGGATTGGAAATACAAGTGTCTCTATGTGTGTGTGTATAGTTAGACTAGCCCTCCCCTGCCACACGTTGCTGTGGCCTACATGGGGGTTCTGGGTGGGAAGTTTGGCCCAATTCTATCGTTGGTGAGGTTCAGAATGCTCTGTGATTGTAGGCGAACTATAAATCCCAGCAACTACAACTCCCAAATGACAAAATCAATTTTTTTGAGTGAAGGACATACATTGGGTTGTTAGGTGTCATGTGTCCAAATTTGGTGTCAATTTGTCCAGTGTTTTTTGAGTTCTGTTAATCCCACAAACAAACATTACATTTTTATTTATATAGATAGGTATATAGGTAAAGGTTTTCCCCTGCCATTAAGTCTAGTTGTGTCTGACTCGGGTGGGGGGAGGGATGCTCATCTCCAATTCTATGCCGAAGAGCCGGTGTTGTCTGTAGACACCTCTAAGGCCATGACTGCATGGAGCGCTGTTACCCTCCCGCCAGAGCGGTACCTATTGATCTACTCACATTTGCATGTTTTCGAACTGCTAGGTTTGCAGAAGCTGGGGCAAACAGCGGGAGTTCACTCTGCTCCCCGGATTCGAACCTGCTACCTTTCGGTAAGCAAGTTCAGCAGCTCAGCAGTTTAACCCACTGCGCCACCAGGGGCTCATATATATATACACACATATACATATATAGCCTATAAAGCTCTAAACCCCCGGTGGCGCAGTGGGTTGTGCCGGCAGGACTGAAGACTGACAGGTCGCAGGTTCAAATCCGGGGAGAGGCGGATGAGCTCCTCTATCAACTCCAGCTCCTCATGCGGGGACATGAGAGAAGCCTCCCACAAGGATGATAAAAACATCAAATCATCCGGGCATCCCCTGGGCAACGTCCTTGCAGACGGCCAACACCAGAAGCGACTTGCAGTTTCCTGACATGACAAAAAAAAAGCTCTAAACCAGGGGTCCTCAAACTAAGGCCCGGGGACCGGATACGGCCTTCCAAGGTCATTTACCCGGCTCTCGTTCAGGGTCAACCTAAGTCTGAAATGACCTGAAAGCACACAACAACAACAACAATTCAATCTCATCAGCCAAAAGCAGGCCCACACTTCCCATTGAAATACTAAGAAGTTTATATTTGTTAGAATTGTTCTTCATTTTAATTATTTATTGTCGAAGGCTTTCATGGCCGGAATCACTGGGTTGTTGTAGGTTTTTTCGGGCTATATGGCCATGTTCTAGAGGCATTCTCTCCTGACGTTTCGCTTGCATCTATGGCAAGCATCCTCACCTCACTACCTCTGAGGATGCTTGCCATAGATGCAGGCGAAATGTCAGGAGAGAATGCCTCTAGAACATGGCCATATAGCCGAAAAAAACTACAACAACCCAGTAATTATTGTTTTTAAGTATTTTTTGCAGTACAAATAAGGTATGTGCAGTGTGCATAGGGATTCATTCGTGTTTTTTTTTTTCAAATTATAAAACAGTTTAAGGGTCTGTGGCCTGGCCCTCTGTTTAAAAAGTTTGAGGACCCCTGCTCTAAATGGTTCCGGCCCGGCTTGCCTCTCCAAGTGTATCTCTCCGTATGAACCATCTAGGAGTTTAAGATCATCTGGAGAGGCCGTGCTCTTGGTCCTGCCTTCTTCTCAGGTGCAACTGGCAGGGACGAGAGACAGGGCCTTCTCAGTGGTGGCCCCTCGGCTGTGGAACTCCCTCCCTAGGGATATTAGATCACCCTCTTCCCTCTTGGCCTTCCGCAGAAAAAAGTGAAAACATGGCTTTTTGAACAAGCCAATGGGAACCTAGTGTAATAGATAAACACAGAATTAGGTGAAATAGAATACTAGAACTGCTTGGACGATGTTTTTTTTTTGGACGATGAGGCTAATAGTGAAGGTAGTGATTTACTATGTTTTTAAAGGTTTTAATGTATGTATTTTATAATTCTGTTTTACATGTTTGCTGAAAATTTTGCATTGCTTTAATGGCATCTAATAACTGCCTATATTGTAAAGCCACCTTGAGTCACTTCAGACCCAAGAAAGGTGGGGTAGAAATATCGTAAATACATACATACATACATACTTACACACACACACACATAAGCAGTCCCCGAGTAACAAAACCTAGCAGTTCCTCCCCAGCCAAGGTGAAAGAGACTGGCGAAGGAAGTGTGGCCTGAGGAGGGGTGCGAGGGAACTTCCCCACAATGTACCCATTCTGACTTACAAACAAATTCAGCTTAAGAACAGACCTACAGGACCTATCTTTTTCGTAATTTGGGGACTGCCTGTATGTAATTCCAAAAGAACAAACCTTGATTTTGCCATTTTGTATATTGTCTAGAATAGGACTGGAGCATCCACATATTCTGTTGCCCACGAGCCTCCCTGTAACCAAAGCATAACAGACACTAAGGGATGAAGGCATGAACAAACTTTGTGCCTCCAGATATTTTGGACTTCAATTCCCACAATTCTTAACAGCTGGTAGGCTGTTAGGAATTGTGGGAGTTAAAGTCCAAAACACCCGGAGGGGGAAAGTTTGCCCATGTTGTGCTATAGAATCGTGTTTCTCAACCTGGGGGTCGGAACCCCTGGGGAGGTCACGAGAGGGGTGTCAAAGGATTGCCAAAGACCATCAGAAAACACAGTAATTTCTGTTGGACATGGGGGTTCTGAGTGCCAAGTTTTGCCCAGTTCTGTCATTGGTGGGGTTCAAGGGGCTCTTTGATTGTAGGCGAACCATGAACCCCAGCAACTACCCATACTCCACCAGTGTTCACATTTGGGCATATTGAGTATTCGTGCCAAGTTTGGTCCAGATCCATCATTGTTTGAGTCCACAGTGCTCTCTGGAAGTAAGTGAAAACAACTCCAGAATTCAAGGTCAGTGCCCACCAAACCCTTCCAGTATTTTTTGTTGGTCATGGGAGTTCTGTGTGCCAAGTTTGGTTCAGTTCCATTGTTGGTGGAGTTCAGAATGCTATTTGATTCTAGGTGAACTATAAATCCCAGCAACTACTACTCCCAGATGCTGGTCTGCACACTGCTATAGGGTTTGCTTGTATGCAGACCTGCAAGTAGTTGCAACAGTTCTTGTTTCTGGAGAGGCTCTCCAAAGGGTAAATGGTTTGTTGTGTGTCTGTAGCCAACGGTACAGTGAGGTTCATTTGCAGACCTTATTTGGCTTGCTTTAATTCCACCCTGCCAAGTTTATATGGGTCTTCCTGTTTTTCTTGTCACATGAGACTATAGGATGGTTGCGTTATGTTTTGTTTTTGTAATGAATGAGAATTGGAATGCATTGGATGGCTCTGGTAGAGCCCACTACATGAGATATAGTACCTCCTCTCGGTCTCACCTCTGGTTCAAGTATGGTTGGTGGGGGCGAGGGAGAGGGCCTTCTCGGTGGGGACCCCCCAGCTCTGGAATGCTCTCCCCAGGGAACTTAGACAAGTCCACACATTACAGCACTTTCAGAAAGAGTTGAAAACTTGTTTTTTTCAGTAGGCCTTTGATAATGTTTAGACAATTGCCAGAACTGATCGCCAATTACTTAGCACTTTATATCTATATTCTATGGGCATACAGCTGGGCTGCTACATTGATTTATGGGTCTTTTAATCAACAGTTATAGCCATATTTTACTGACTCTATGTAATAAAGGTTGTTTTTACTTAATTTATATATTTTGTTTAATGTGTTACTGTTTTTATATGTGGATGTATTTTATTTTATGTTTTGTTTGGTACCTTTGTTTGCTATTGTGTAAGCTGCCCCGAGTCCCTATGGGAAATGGTAGTGGGGTATAAATAAAGTTTTATTATTATATTATTATTATCTTGTGTTCCGTCTTCCATACATTCCCGTATTGAACAGTTCTCCCTCTATATCCACGGATTCCGCATCCAGAGAGTTCACCATCAATGTCTTCAAAATATTCCAAACATAAATCTTGATTTTGGCATTTATATAAGGGATATTGTATTGCTATGTCATTGTCTACAATGGGGTTTGAACTTCCATAGATTTTTGGTATCCATTGGGAGGGAGGGTCCTGAAACCAAAGCCCAGTGGATACCATGGGCCCACTGTATTTGCTGTTTTTTTCTTCACATCAGTGAAGGAAAGAGAACTTAGAGATTCAGTCAGAAGGAATGAAGGCCAACTAACCAACATGAGGTTTCCCTAGTAACTGAGAATTTGTACCCTTGCTTTCTCTGTTCACATATAAATGTGTGTGGAAGAAAGGGGCTATGAAAATATAGTCTTTCTTAAAATACACAAATACGCATATATAGAAATACATATATCACATAAGAAGAGAGCAAGACCTCCTTCTTCCCTTCCTTACATTGTTGTACTTCACTGCTTTGAATAGCTTTCCTGTATTAGAAGCAAGCAACCTTCTGGAATAGAGAAGGCCATTGTTTACAGAAGGGCAGGAATCCTGTGCCTAGCATTTGTTGGATTGCCTCCCCAATGTTCCTCACATTGGCTTTGCTTGTTAAAACATCTGGGACTTTCAATCCAGCAACTTTCGAAGGGCCCTGTTCTTCAAGAGGGTTGTTGCTTCTATCTTAAAGCAAAAAAAAAAAAAAATTAAGGGTAGGAAAAGCAAAGGTTTGG